CTGCTGCATAGCTTTCAGCAGAAGCTGCTCAGGGAAGACATCTTCTACAACACCAAAGCCAAATGTAGAAATTTAAGATTCAGCATAAAAAAAAAAAGAGATTAATTTCATCCAGAAGTTACATGACTTAGACTGTCTGATTCTTCAGGATTTAGGACAATCCATCTCTATTTCAGCACATTACAAAAAAAAAAAAAAAAAAAAAAAAAAAAAAAGAAAAACAACCCTGGGAAAATATCTGGTTCTTCATTACTTTATTTAAGTCAAGAAATTTAACTAACAAAATTAATGAAAAAAAAAAGTAGGAAAAAAGAAAAATAGCAAGAAATGTTCTCATGAAGTACTAACTTCTTGCCTTCTAGAGATGAACCTAAAATCTAAAGTTAACAAAAGGAGTTGGGTTTCTGTTCATTTTCAAGATAAAACGTCCTGCATTAGTATACTGTGTAGAGTTGCACTACCTATACATAGACAATAAATCCAGGCAATGCAGAAGCACAACTCAATCAGAAAGGCCAATTCCAGACGTAGATATTTGCACTTATCATTCAGATTTTAGGAGGTGCCAAATACTCTATTTTCTGCCTGGCCAAAACTTTTAGTAGGAACAAGACTCAAGATGACAAACTAGATTTACATCGGCCCTTCTAATCAATAAGCAACACCTAGAATTAGGCACTGACACCTACTCACCTAGGTTTTATTTATTTGAGACAGAAAATGAGAGCTGAATTGGTTGTGGGTTGGGCTTATTATTGTTTGTTTTTAAATCAATACTCTCAATCCCTGCAGGCAACCACTGTATGGTGTATTTGGAGTCTTAGCATTTGCCACACAGAGGCATACACTAGCTTTATTTGGCATCACTCTTAGCCTTTGTAGCTATGGAATTAAGGCAGAAACCAGGTGGAGAGTGATGGGAATGAGAATGAATTCAGAGAACTTCTAGAGCAAGACAGCATGTAAGAGTTACGAGTTTTCTCAACTTTTTAGGTACATAAAATCCATCTGCACCATGTTTTAAGGGTCTGTATCTTGTGTAGGCTTTTGTATCATTGACTACATACATATTGTCAGCATTAATAAACGTGACTTTTAACTGTCTCTGAAGTTATTTTAATGAATCTGTTAATCCTAACCTAGGTCTGGAAATTCCTCCTTGATTTATGCCTTGTTCATTCTTCTCTAATTAGTAGTACAATCACAATATTGATGAGAAGCAGGTTCTTTTTCCATGTGAAAACCACCTGGTTTTTCCAGCATATCTCTATTCTTATCCCAGATGCAACCTCTTGGTAAGGCTAAAAAGGTGTCTTGTGTTCATGTATTCAATCGTTTTATAATCACAAAAACTTCAATTATTTACTGGTAATTAAGATCCAATATCTTAAAATCGTAAGCCATCTTTTCAGTCATTGCAGCATTAAGAGGTAACAAGTTTACCATCCTGGTTAATCACTGTATGAACATGGCTCATATCAACTCAGGAAGTCAAACTACTTTGTCATCTAAACATTAACTAGCTCCAGTATAGCAGCAAGTACTTGATTGTGTATAACTTGGAATATAGCCAGAATTCTGTTGGAAAGGATGGCTGTTCTCAGAAAAATTACAGTAAAGATTACCAAAGGTTTCTGGGGGTCACAAAGACGACAACAAGCAGCAGATTCAGCTGGAATCTAGAAGTAGTAAAAGTCTCACTATTTTTGCCTCAACAGTTTTTAATCCACACTAGCATTACTCTACCTAGTCAGAGTACACAGCTGTCAAACTAATGAAAACAGGACAGACAGCCACTGTCTTGGTACATTTATCTTCCTCCTATGTGCCTCCCCTTCATAGCCAGTCCCTGTTCCCACTTTTAAGTGAGGTTGGGAGAGGCAGCCATATCCCTGCTCAGGGCTACGGCACAGGAGCATGCACAAGGACTACATAAACTAAGCATTCATGGGGAAAATTAAAAAATCTACAGAATTGTATTACATTGCTGCAAGTCTGTAGTTCAGATGTATTTATGGTATTCTCAGACACTGATAAAACACCAAAGAACACAGAACAATTTGATGTTTACAAGGTTATAAAGTTAAAGAATTATGTTCTGGTGAGGACAGACCACACTGTCCCCCAAGTAACATAGACACAGTCATCACTTGGAGATTCTTCTCCCATTTGAAAGGGATTTTTTGTACAACATGTAGTACCCTGTATTTTCCCTGGTTTAGAATTATTACCATTATATCACTGCAATAACTGATGTTTTTGCTAAAAAAAAGTCAACAAAAGCCACCAATTAGAAATCACGCTAAAATGATAATCTTAAATTTTGACTCAGTCTCCATCATTTCTTTAAAGGCAGTTGGCATGTTATAAATAAAAGTGAACAGAAGTTTTAGTGTACAAGAAGTAAAATATAACTATTCAAAGTACATGCATCAATCCTACCCCAAAGGGAGACATACACATATAAATCTTCTAGATTGAGTGATTTTGTTTCAAAACTCTTTGTAGAAATCCATGAGACATACATTATGAAACCCAAACATTATTTGAAGTACTATCTTAGAGGATTAAATCAATAAACATCGTAACTATTTTCAGGAACTCCCAATATACATTTATGATGTCTCCTGTCAGTTTGTTCTCTATTTATTGCTACTAGACAAGACTGGCAGAAGTTGCAGTCAGCTGAAGCGGGATTTCATTTTACTCTTTGTTGATAACAGATTGCTCACACTTAGTTCTGTTATGGATTTTTAGTTACCAGTCCTAGCTGCTGATCTAGACAGCTAGGGACTGCTATTACTTGTTTGTTTCTTCCAAGTCATCCATTAGTGTTTGCTTGCTCTGTCCCCTTGCTCTCTGAGAGAGCTTTTCCTGAGGACTGTCAGGAGACAAGGCCTCTTACATCCTGATGTATTATTTCTGGCATAGGGGACAAATGAAGCTAGAGCTTTAGGGAAAATCACCAGGGAAACTGCAAGGACATATCACTGAATCCAAATCTTTAGCCCTCCAGGCTCAAGAGAGTTTTTATGACCTGACTGGCTCTTGTCTGTTGAGTTCTAGATTCTCTAGCCCTTTGTATCTAAATTATTTTACTTGTACAAACATGGGTTTCAGTTTACAGGCACTCACTTCCACACACCACTTGATGTGGCTCAGCATCCAGGTATAATCAAGCAAATGCCAAGAGGATTCCCTATAACATCCAGTTATTTAATCCAGATTAAATAACAAGAGACAAGAACTACTCATGTAATCCAATTCATTGATGTCCTGTAAGAAGAAAGTTTGAGTCATTGGTAATTCACAATCACTATTTCCTATACTTGGGACTCAGTTTATCAAGGCTGTGACAGAAGGCATTTCATTCTTCTGTAGGAAATAATTTCAGAGGCAGTTAAGACACTCAGCAGCACTTGAGGAACTTGACCCAACAGTGCTATTCAGATGAAAGTAATGAACAGTCTGACTCCATGACAAAGACTTTAAAAGTTATCTTGGTATATTGACAGCAGCTCATCTTTGTCATGGAGTCAGACTCAGTTTCCTGAAACACAGCCCAGCAAAAAATGTAGGGGCTTTCTGGTGTGTTGATGGGGGGAGGAAAGGGAAGGTATTTCCTGCCCTGGAGGTTTGAAAGCTGAAACACAGGGAGCTGCACTCCTGCTGAGTTCACCCATAGCAGCACTGGAAAATTGCTCTAAACAGGGTTCACTTAATTTCTTCCCCACTAAATGCATTACTCTTGCTCTTTCACTATTCTTTCAGATATCAGCCTTTTCTGTACCTGTGTTCCTGTGTGATCTTTCTCACTTCTGTAAAGTGAGTGAGAAGTGTTATCCTGTGAAAAAGGCAGCCTTTATTTCTACGCACTGGAATAAAAGAGTGCCACATTAAGGTTTTAGGTGTTTTTTTTCTTTTCTTTTTTTAAAATCACAAAGCCATTAAGATGCAAAATTGAAACAGACCAACTCTCATCACTGCCATCACATTGTGACTTTTTACAGGAAGGTATGGCATTGGGCTTGTCAGGTGCAAGATGCCCCAGGTTTCTTTCCTCTGCCGTGAGTCTGTAACAGCCTGAACTATCAGAGTATCTCCCCTTGCCAAAATCCATTTCAAACTCACTACAACAGAATTCAGCTCTTTCTTTTACCAACTGCCAAAGGCTTAGGACCTAGGATTGAGATATGGCCAGATTTAGATACCTGTTAATAACTCACACTGCAGAGCCTTCTCCATGAGAAGATCCAAGTAGAAATAAAAGTCCTAGGTCAAGTAACTACAACCAATTTTTCTCCCCACATCATTTTTTTCTTAATTCTTTCTTTAAAAATACTCATTGGCTTGCAGCAGATAATTTTGAGTCTGAATTGGGTTGGTTTGTTTTTTTTTTAGACAGTCAGTATACTGAATGAGGAAACTGATCAGCCAGGAAGAGCTGTACCTCACCCACCTCACCAGCTCTGTATCAGACCTTACATATTAGTTTATTAAACTTCTGCCAGGAGCTCATCTCTGTAAGAAGCCCTTTTTGTTCTATATTTGTCTGAATTGAACTGTCATTGTCTTCACTGATTGTTAGCTGATCTCAGTCTCCAAAGAGCTGGCAGTAATGTTCTTCATTATTTACAGTGTTATCTATTTATGGCATCATCCATCTGCGATTTTTTTTTTATTCTTCCTTTCTCTATCTTCTTTGACTTTGGCAATCAATTTTCTTTTTGTTAGGTGAACTCAGAGAACTCTCCTTAAGGAACAGGCTGGAGAAGCACCATCAAGTTTACACTTAGCCTTGAAAGAATTCCTTATACACACCACACTTATTAAAGCCTCAGGAAACATGAAAGAAATGTATGTGAACTGGAGGAATTATTTGCTACAAATTTAATGATTAAAGTAGCATATACAGATCCCTTTTGCTCAAGCTACAGAGTCATAATGATACGAAATAAGAAACAGTTCTCTCAAGAATAGATTTAAACTTCATCTCCTACCTCATGCTGCTGTACAAGGCAGTAAGAACACAGCAGGGGAAAAAAATATCATCCAGCCACAGAATTCACCTGTAAAACATTCCCAAAAAATAAGCTTTTAAGGTTTCAGCAGCTGAAAACCTCAAAAAAAAAAAAAAGCAAAAAACTATTTAAAATACTTTTTACTTCAAAATACTTTTTATTTAGTCATACAAGTTTAAGAACCATGCTTACTCCAATGCAGATTTTATAGGCATATGAATTGATCACAAATGTTGTTAGGAGCCTGTCATTACCTTCTCTTTAAGGACCTCCATAATCAAAGCTTAAATCAAAATAAATTCAGGTGCTGCATTTATTGAGTAATCAGCAGCTGACCAGCACCTGTGTTCCACTGCCTCACAAATAGCCTCATCTGGCTCCAGTTCTTTGCAGATAAGGAGGACTGGCTTCCTCCCTGAATTACTACCTTAAAGGCTCTTAGAAGGAGATCTAAACTAGAGGGTGCAAGGATGACTGACCCACCTATCGATTACAAGGATGACAAAATAGAAACCCTGGCCCACGCTTTCTTTGGAGACTGCATTCGCTCTAAAACTTTCTGCTTGAGATGCACACTGAAATATTTTGCCATGGGGGCTGCAGCTAATGAGTCTCATGTCCTTCACCTCCAATTTAACCCAGGTTGGCCCTATAGACCAGCTTTTCATCTCCCTGTGAGGTCTGACACCTGAGAAGCAACAGGGCATTGAGCACAGTCTGGACCTATTGCCCAGAGCAACTAAGCTGGTCCAAAATCATATGAAGAACTGCAGCTCAAATGCAGTGCATGTGGTCTTTAGAAAGAGGAATTTCATTTTCAGGCATAGAAAACACTAAAAGTTATTTATATAGACTTGTTACAGAGATGCAGGTGTGGACTCTGAAGAAAATAGTTTGCTTTAGCAGAGTGTACTCCTTACAATAACAAAAAGTAGAGATCCAGTAAATAAACCAATGCTTCTCAGTGGGTTAATAGGAATGGAGAACAATGCACACCAAATTCATGCTGCAGAATTACTTTGTTCTTACATACAAAGCAGGTTAATCTCTCCCATGTATTGTTTAAAGTCATACATTTTGCTAAGCCCTCTCAGATGCTGAGGAATAACTTTCTGGGAGTAGCGTCTGGAGGCAGCTGCCTAATTTGGCTTTAAGCTAACATCAGCATCCTAAACAGAAAAGAGGAATGGGCCATCAGGACAACAAGATAGATTCTCAGTGCTGTGCTGTAACAGAAAATTATTTTTAGGAACCAGAATTTTTTTTCCTTACCTTTACCTGAAATGAAATTTCAGTACTCCGCTATAAAAAAAAAAAGTTATTTTGGGAAGCCAGATTTTTTTTCCCCTACTTCTACCACATAACAAAGAAGTATTATGTTTGTACTGACTCCAAAATGTCTTGTTTAAAAAGAAATATATTTGTAATAGTTATTTATACAATAGGTAAATAAAATGGCAGTATACAGATGAATTATAAATGAGATCTAATATTAATATTCACTCAATACATGGATCCATACCTTGAGACCATCATTATTTGGCCTTCAACTTTTATATGCAATATTTGCATATGATAGGTCTTTATTTACTTCTGCAGATGAGGGCAGGATCTCAGCTGGCTCTATGGCCAGATGAAAGGAAAGCTTGGATGATAATGTGAAGGTTAAACACAGATGGAATTTCTTGGTTACAGACATCACTTGAATGCATCTACTGATGCCTTTTGAAATACGTCAATAGCTGTCTTTTAGAAAAGTAATCCAGATTACTTTTTATTTTCTGGAAATTAGCTTTCTCATCCCAATTAAATATATACTATTTTTCAAAAGCATAATCAACCTGTATTTTTAACTATATTGCTTGCATCTGATTATATTCAAGGCACTAGTGTCTGAATAAAATACTGTTTCTGCTTTCTAAGTCATTGTTTACACACTGATGTCTACATTTTTTTCCTGCTGACATTCTATTCAATACTACTTGAAATGAAAATAATTGAAAACCAACAGCAAGGTTTTTTCTCAACCTTTTAGAAATATTTGAAGTCAGTTGTACAATAAATTTTCTTAACTTCCTATTCAGGAACCTTAAAATTATAAATATATTTCAAGGGCAGCAATATCCAAGGAAGAAGTGAGCTCAAAAAGGGCACAATAAAGAAAAGAATCAAACTGAAACCCAAAATCTCCCACTGCTTTTCTCTTTAAACTCCAAAAGTCAAAAAACTTCTCAAGAATCTGACACTAGTATCAAAATTCAGAAAGCTATCCAAGAGAATAATATCTTTCCCAATGCTTCTATTTGCACAGCCATTTTGTGAACATAAACCAGTTTTCCACTGCTACGTTTTTAGCATTACTTTTTAAACAACACAAAAAGGGAAGTGAAAATAACTGCCTGCATTATGCAGTGAACACAGGCAGACCTTTAACTGCAGCATGACTCCTTAACAGAAGCTGTCCACTTGTGTCCCCATACAGCCCTTTTTGCACAATCAGGCTTAAATTAGTAAAGGCATATGATGCATTAAGGCATGAGCATTACACAGCTCAGGCTTGAAAGTGCCTAATGTTAAGTAAAGTTTCCCACCAGCTGTTTTTATATTGCTTTATGCTCTGATTTGAACTATTACATAATTTGTCTAAAGAAAAATAGGCAAATAGCCTTTATTTTTTTTTTTTTGCTTATTCTAAGGAAAAGTTGTCTATCGTCTGGTTTCGTAGAGGTGGAATAAAACAGAATTTTTTACTCATTTTGAAAAACAAAGGGGGATATGGTAAATGAGGTTGTAGCATCATCACTTTCAAAAAGCATTACGCTGTGAAGACTTCTGCTTCACAGCAGTATGATTATTAATGGCATATCTAAACCAACATTTTTTTCTGCCTTGATTACCACAGCCTCAAGCCTTTGTGTACACTAAATTACTGCAGTACATGAAAAGGGTAGAAAAATGATAAATAACATGGTATACCATTTTTCAAGACAAACATATTCAGTGAGTTCTTCAAGGTGTGTAATATTGAATCACACAGATTGAATAATGTGAATGCGCACATACAGAGAATTTAGTTCTGAACTCCAAAACTCATGAATTGCAACAGCAGCAACACTTTGCCTACTACAAATTTGTGCACATATTCTCCTCTGAGATGGAATGTGGAAAATAATCAGCATGCATAATAAGTGACCTGACCCAGTCATTAGGCTCTCACCTGTGTTATTACAGAAACAGGCTGCAGTACCACCAGCTGCTTTCGCTGGTGTTTGAAATAACCTCTGAATGTTTCCTTCTAGGAGAATACCTTGGGCTAAGATGGGTCAGAAAATCAACTAAATGTCTGGGAAAGAGTTAAGATTTACCTCTCTTCTCCATGGACTGTCTCAAATGGGCCTTCACTTACTATGACCCACTACCTGTGGATTAGCCTTTTTCATTCCGCATCGTAAAGGGAAAGTCAATACCTGTACAATCAATGAATATACAGCTGATATAGTATATCCAGGAGTTTAGCTGATATAATTATTATACTAGAGTAAGAAAGAAGGACACTCACCCAATCCTGGGCTTGTATAATAAACTCCAGTGGAGTGGATCTCCAGAAGAGATCCTTCCTCCCTGGCCGTCAGCTCTTAAGTGGGTCTGGGAGAGGTGGAGTCAGGCTCCACCCCCTTCCTGCAGCACAGGTGAATTGCATTCACCTGTGCTCCCATGGCTGATGCACTGCTCATCTCAGGTGATCAATCAGAGGTTCAGGCTGTGATTCAGCAGCCCCATACAATACCTAACTTGCAAAATTCACTAGTGGCTTCCCTTTATCGGGCAGTAGTCTTTCATATCAGAAAATGCCAGCTACAGAAGTCAACAACACCATAAACTGTGTAAATTCCACGGTATTCCTATCATAAAAGACAAAATCACGCTCTTTTATTGGCTTACTTGAGACTTTCTTCAGGAAGATGCAGGAGTTCTCATCCTTTTGTCACTGCAATGGATTTTCACAACCATGTAATTTTATCATATAATCTCTGTGGGAGACAGACTGCATGTAGAATGAAAACAATATCTTTTTTGGATAAGAAGTAAACCCAAGAGGTAGGGCCTTTAATAAGTACAAAGGTCCAAGGGGATGAAGCTGCAAATGAATCTCACCATGTAGCAAGTGAAGAAAAAAACCACCTGTTATTTCATCATTTATGCTACCTAATATTAGATGATGTGCTTTTCCTACAGGCAGATATGGTCTTGGTCTTGGAGTTTAACTGTCTCTTAATGCATATATATAATATAAGCATTTTTGAACAGGGAGAGGCAAAGTGATCCAGAATGTACAGTGGGGCTTACCTTAAGCACAAGAGCAAATTGAATGGGACCCTCAGAGCCAAGTATCCCTCTGAGAGCACATCTGAGATAGGAAAATTGGATTCACTGCCCACCCACATTCACCTGAGCACAGACTTTAGACTGAAAAAAATAAACAGTTGTCTCATTTCCCTCCTTCCATGACAGATAAGGAGCCAAAATGACCTGTACAGTCCATATTTGTGCTTAGTGGTACCAATGTTCAGTGTATCTAAAAGCGGTAGCTAGTGGGAAGCATGCCTGAAGCCTGAATTGAGAAATATTATCTGATGAAAGACTGTAACTGTAGTTCCAAGGAGTTATATTTTGTTTCAAATGTCGAGCACTGGTGGGGGTGAGAAAGCTCAGAATCAGGCAGAAGGAGATGACACTTTTTCAAAATAAAGAGGTCAGAAATTCATCAACATCAGTTTCTATGTACTCAACACCCTCTTTTCTATTTTTAAGCAACAGCCAAGCAGACACATTTACTGTAACACGTCCACACAGGTTTCCTTGGCATTCCTCAATTCCAGGCAGTGCTGTTATATGTGAATACTGCACTTTTCCATCAATGGACATACTACTCCCCAAACTACTATTCCTTGTAATATTACACCCTCAGAAGATGTCTGCGAACTGACAAACGCCTCTTTCTCCTTCCCGTTTCTTTACTGCACTGGGGTTGGAAGCCCACACCTCGT